GCTTCTCTCCCCTATGTTCAGGTTATTTGTGTATGCTAAGTAAATGATTCTCATATAAACCTTCTGACAATGTTTTAGTTCATCCTGGACCATTATCAAGCCCAGCTGTGTCTAGATAATGGTCTAGTATTGACTGAGACATTATCTGAAGTTTCCTTTCCTAAGGTTGGACTAATTGTGAATTGTTCCAGCTATGGTATTGTGACTTTTAATCTTCATAAATGAATGTATCAATTCATTGGTGTTTATGGGTCTCAATCTAACAGTCTGATGGGCCTAATCTTAGGCCTTCCAAACCATTTGTTTGACACCTCAGTACCCCATCCAACAGTAGCAAATGTTTACAGGTCTGTACATAAGGTTATAACTGTTACCTTGGTCTGCATGTAGGTTGCAACCATTAACTAGGTCTGTATATAAGGTTACAACCATTAATTATGTCTGTATATAGGGGTACAACTATTAATTATGTCTGTATATAAGGTTACAACCATTAACTAGGTCTGTATGTAAGGTTACGGCTTTTAGATTGGTCTGTACATAAGGTTTTGTTTTTAGCTTGGCCTGTACATAAAGTTACAGTCTTTAGCTTGGCCTGTATGTAAGTTTACAGCCTTTAGCTTGGTCTTTATGTAAGGTTGCAGCCTTTAGCTTGGTCTGTACATTAGGTTACAGTCTTTAGCTTGGTCTGTACGTAAGGTTGCAGTCTTTAGCTTGGTCTGTACATTAGGTTACAGTCTTTAGCTTGGTCTGTACGTAAAAGTACAGCCAGTAGCTTGTATTTTTACTCTAAAAATTGCTACCTATGCTGAAGAATGAGAACCTTGATCAAAATGTCATAGCAAGAGGTTTCATCTTTTAAGCATTAATTTTGGATATAGTATTTTATGGGTTGAAGTTTGGATAATGTAGTTGTTTATTTAATAATAATAACTTTTCAGGTGCCAGTGGAGCAGATTACAGAGAAGATTTTGAAGGCTAAGCAAATACTTACCATGGAAATAAAGCGTATAAAACACTTATTGAATGTCTTCAATGGTATGTAAATATATTGTGTACTATGGGAAAGTTATACAGCCTCTCCTCACTTAGCGATATACTCGTTTACCGATGATTCGGACGTACAACGGGCTCTCTGACCAGTATGCATACCTAAATAATGTACATTAGAACTAATTTCCTCTATTCTGTTTATTACAATGTACAGTACACTGCTGTATAAACATTCAAATATACAGTGGTACCTTGACTTATGAGTGCCCCAACTTATGAGTTTTCTGAGTTACAACCCGTCGCTCAGGCGATTTTTTCCTTTGAGTTGCAAGCCAAAATCCGAGTTACAAGCAAAAAAAAAAATATATATTTACTGAAAATGACATTTGGCAAGAACCCCAGCCTGAATGGCACAACAAAAGGTGGTTGTGGGACTTGGTACTTATAAAACAATGCTAGTGTGATGTTCTCACTGGAGGTAATCATGTAATTATCTTTAGTTATTCTACAAAAAATTAAAGTTACTAATTTTTTGACATTTGCAAAATATCTTTCTCTTTACTACCACACAAATCCTAAAATATTTGGAATATTTCCAATATTCCACAAGTCAATTGTAGAACAATCATTTTTTTTATGATTCCTCTCAATATTATTGCATTTACTTCAGTAATAACATAAGAACATAAGAATGGAGGAACACTGCAGAAGGCCTACTGGCCCATACAAGGCAGATCCTTATCAAAGCAATCTCTACCCAAAGCTACCCAAGAATTAACTCCCAGACCCAATGACACCAATCAAACCCAGCCCCTCCCACTCATATTATTGTCTAATCTCTTCTTAAAACTACCCAAGGTCCTAGCCTCTATCACCCTACTGGGAAGATTGTTCCACGCATCCACAACTCTGTTAGAAAACCAGTACTTACTCATGTCCCTTCTAAATCTAAATTTATCCAACTTAAATCCATTATTTCTGGTTCTTACCTGGTTCGACACCCTCGGTACTTTATTAATATTCCCATTGTTTATGCCCGTCATCCACTTACACACTTCATTGATATCTCCCCTCATTCTATGTCTCTCCAGAGTGGAGATTTAAGGCTTTAGGTCTATCTTAGAGCATAAGAACATAAGAAATGAGGAACACTGCAACAGGCCTACTGGCCCATACTTGGCAGGTCCATGTCAGAACCAACCCACCAACAAAAATATTTGCCCAACCCATCCCCAGAGCCACCAAAGCAACAAGCCTTGACAACCCCTTCCCCCCCTATCAGTGTGCAACTCCCGCTCAAATCCATCCCCTCTCTCATAGAATACAGAAAGAAGGAACACTGCAGCAAGCCAACCTGCCCACACTAGCCAGGTTCTCCTCAAACCCAGACCCACAAACAAAACCACCTGCTACTCCATCCATGGAATAAGCTCTGATAACCAGGGCACTATTAAAGAGAGTACTGAGGGAGCTGAAGTACCTGGCCCATCACCAGGGTACTGAAGCACCTGGTCCATCACCAGGTCACTGAGGGAGCTGAAGCACCTGGTCCATCACCAGGGCACCAGGGCAGCTGAAGCACCTGGTCCATCACCAGGGCACTGAGGGAGATGAAGCACCTGGTCCATCACCAGGGCACCGAGGGAGCTGAAGCACCTGGTCCATCACCAGGGCACTTAGGGAGCTGAAGCACCTGGTCCATCACCAGGGCACCGAGGGAGCTGAAGCACCTGGTACATCACCAGGGCACTGAGGGAGCTGAAGCACCTGATCCATCACCAGGGCACTGAGGGAGCTGAAGCACCTGGTCCATCACCAGGGCACCAAGGGAGCTGAAGCACCTGGTCCATCACCAGGTCACCGAGGGAGCTGAAGCACCTGGTCCATCACCAGGGCACCAAGGGAGCCGAAGCACCTGGTACATCACCAGGGCACCGAGGGAGCTGAAGCATCTGGTCCATCACCAGGGCACCGAGGGAGCTGAAGCACTTGGTCCATCACCAGGGCACCGAGGGAGCTGAAGCACTTGGTCCATCACCAGGGCACCGAGGGAGCTGAAGCACCTGGTTCATCACCAGGGCACCTAGGGAGCTGAAGCACCTGATCCATCACCAGGGCACCGAGGGAGCTGAAGCACCTGATCCATCACCAGGGCACTGAGGGAGCCGAGGCACCTGATCCATCACCAGGGCACCGAGGGAGCTGAAGCACCTGGTCCATCACCAGGGCACCGAGGGAGCTGAAGCACTTGGTCCATCACCAGGGCACCGAGGGAGCTGAAGCACCTGGTTCATCACCAGGGCACCTAGGGAGCTGAAGCACCTGATCCATCACCAGGGCACCGAGGGAGCTGAAGCACCTGGTCCATCACCAGGGCACTGAGGGAGCCGAGGCACCTGATCCATCACCAGGGCACCGAGGGAGCTGGAGCACCTGGTCCATCACCAGGGCACTTAGGGAGCTGAGGCACCTGGTCCATCACCAGGGCACCGAGGGAGCCGAGGCATCTGGTCCATCACCAGGGCACCAAGGGAGCTGAAGCACCTGATCCATCACCAGGGCACCGAGGGAGTTGAAGCACCTGGTCCATCACCAGGGCACCAAGGGAGCTGAAACATGTGGTCCATCACCAGTGCACTGAGGAAGCTGAAGCCAAAAGCCTGCTCAGCACCATACGGGAGATTCCTTACACAGTAAATCATTTTAGTCATTCTTCTCTGCATGTTCTCCAATGAGTCCATATCCATCCTGTAGTAAGGAGACCAAAACTGAGCGGCATAATCCAAATGAGGCCCCACTAGTGATGAATAGAGCTGTAAAATATCTTTTGGACTTCCGTTACTTACACTTCCTGAGATAAATTCAAGTAATATGTTAGAATGTTGTGGACACTTAGGCACCGCTGTCTTGGTGGGTTTCATGAAATAAGTCATTAACTTCTGAGATATTCATATATCACTGCACTAGTGATCTAGTACAGTTAGCCTCCATTTTCTCTTACCCAGGACCAAGGAACACGTTATAGGAAGGAGCAGTAATGATTTTGTACGCTCGGACTTGTCCTGTACACTCGCCATATTATGGCCTATTTTATTCATTTTAGAGTATATATCATGTTTCTTTGTTACTTATAGTGTTTATTATGTCAAATTAGATAAATTCTGATAAATATATAAGCCGTAGAGTTGATATTAGTGTTTTATTGAAGTATATTCTCCTGCTCTAGGTAGTAGGTTGGTAAACAGCAACCACCCAGGGAGGTACTACCGTCCTGCCAAGTGAGTGTACAACGAAAGCCTGTAATTGTTTTACATGATGGTAGGATTGCTGGTGTCTTTTGTCTGTCTCATAAACATGCAAGATTTCAGGTATGTCTTGCTACTTCTACTTGCATTTAGGTCACACTACACATACATGTACAAGCATATATATACACACACACACCCCTCTGGGTTTTCTTCTATTTTCTTTCTAGTTCTTGTTCTTGTTTATTTCCTCTTACCTCCATGGGGAAGTGGAACAGAATTCTTCCTCCGTAAGCCATGCGTGTTGTAAGAGGCGACTAAAATGCCGGGAGCAAGGGGCTAGTAACCCCTTCTCCTGTATATATTACTAAATTTAAAAAGAGAAACTTTAGTTTTTTCTTTTGGGCCACCCTGCCTCGGTGGGATACGGCTGGTATGTTGAAAGAAAGAAGAAGAAGAAGATATTCTCCTGCCCCTGGGGTGGTTATTTTGGGGGTTGGAATGGATTAATGGCATTTCAGTTAATCTCTATGAGGAAAATTGATTTGATATGTACGAGCAAATTGAGTTATGAGCTCGGTAATGGAATGAATTAAACTTGTAAGTCAAGGTGCCACTGTGTACTAAAAATGTCATAAATGGTGCAAGGGTGACATTAAAGCAATATCAAAGATGGTTGACATAAACTCACTACCATTATAGTATGCTCCTCGTTTAGCGACAAATTTGTTTACTGATGCAGTATTAGGAACAGAACTCTGTCATTAAGTGAGAAGTGGCTGTACTAGATTCTGCACTCATTATTTTGATTATTATTATCATTATTATCATTATTATTATCATCATTATTATCATCATTATTATATTATCATCATTATCAGCATTATCATCAAGTAATGTTACAGCCACACTAACTGCTCTTTTCTCATTTTTGTGGGAAAAGGCAGGTTCCTGACTAAAGACTGAATATACTGTATAACTCAACTTTTATATATGGTAAAATCTTTCACTTTTTCAAATGATGAAGAATAAGATATTTATTTTTTTAAATAATGGAAGTGCATAAATGGCAAGATGACTGTTATTAAGTCAGAGGTATATAATAGTGAAAAGTTGAATAAGACGCATGTGCAACATCAAGGCTAAGGGATAAAAAATCCTTAAACTTACATACATAAAAACATAAGAATGGAGGAACACTGCAGAAAGCCCATACAAGGTAGGTCCTTATCCAAACCACCACTACCCAAAGCTAACGAAGAATTTACTCCTGTACCCATGACACAAATCACACTCAGCCCCTCCCACTCATATATTTGTCCAATCTCTTCTTAAAGCTACCCAAGGACCTAGCTTACTCAGAAGATTGTTCCATGCATCCACAACTCAAGGTTCTATTTGAGCTCCACTCATGCTGTTGTGACCATCCATACTGTACTACTTTATTGCTCCACTACTTTCATCTCACTGGTGATCTCCCACTGAGGTAGTGTGACCCGAAAAGTAAAAAAAAAAAAAATAAACTCGCCACTTACTCTATCACTTTAATCCCTAAAATAGGGATTGAAGTAAATTCTGTGTAAGAGAGATATACACTTGGTATATAACTTGAGTTCAAATTAATATTATAATAATCTGCTAATTTATCTGCAGCATATGGGGTGCAGCCAGAAGACATTGTGTGTGACATAAGAGTGTTGTGCCACAATGCTAAAATGGCGGAGGAGAGACTGCGGGTTGCTGTTCAGGCAGGATGCACGAGACCCAAGCCCTGGATTTGTTACGCAGCTGATCATATTTTTGACAGGTTCGTAGCCAAGCATTATAATTAAGGTGTAGGACTATTAAAATGGTATACAATACTGACAGGTTGGAAAGTAAGACACGTCTAGCAGTTAGGTACGTATCTTTATTCTGTCTGCAGCTTTATACATCATTAGTAAGGCCTCACCTAGATTATGCAGCTCAGTTCTGGTCTCCATATTACAGAATGGACATAAATTCGTTAGAAAACATTCAGTGTAGAATGACTAAATAAACATAGCATTAGAAAAATTCCTTATGAGGAAAGATTGAAGACTCTTAAACTACATTCACTTGTTAGACGAAGAATGAGGGGAGACATGATAGAAGTGTATAAGTGGAAGATGGGTATTAATAAAGGGGATATTAATAAGGTCTTGAGGATATCTCTCCAAGAGAGAACTCGCAGTAATGGATTTAAATTAGACAAGTTTAGATTTAAAAAGGACATAGGAAAGTATTGGTTTGGAAATAGGGTAGTTGATGAGTGGAACAGTCTACCTAGTTGGGTTATTGAGGCCAGGACTTTGGGTAGTTTCAAATTTAGGTTGGATAAATATATGAGTGAGAGGGGTTGGATTTGAGTGGGACTTGCAAATAAGTGGATAGAGTTGCTGGACCTTATTTCTTGGGAAACATTGAAAATTGGGTTGGGCAAATGTTTTGTTAGTGGGATGGATTGTAAAGGACCTGCCTAGTATGGGCCAACAGGCCTGCTGCAGTGTTCCTCCTTTCTTATGTTCTTATGTTCTTATGTTTATTCCGAAATGTTTTGCCTACACAGTAGGCTTCTTCAGTCAAGTACAGGAAAGTTGGCAGAAGCAGTAGAAATGTGATGATGATGTAATTAGTCCATCACCCTTGAAGACGTAGTTTTGAGGTGGTCAGTCCCTCAGCTGAGTGATTGACCACCTCACAGAATGTTACCTTGCTTACAGCTCGTCAGGTTCTAAAAGTCATTTGCCTCCACTCACTCCTATCTAGCATGCTCACACATGCTTGTTGCACATAAAATCTGTTATTTTACTCCTGCAGATTCTGTGAGCGTCTACTGTCCCAAAAAGAGGTGCTGGCAGGGCACAAAGATATGGCAAGCTACTTAACACATAGGCTGGAGTGTGACCGCCATATGGTTGATACGTATTTCAAATGTATCCAAAACCAGGAGGACTTGAATTTTAGTATACTGAAGAAGAAAATTGATCTTTTGTTTTCTGAAGGATTTACCCCACAGGATGTCAGGTATGTTGCATTGTATACAAGGAAGTACACTAATTTTGCTGTCTTCAGTTGTAATTCACTCTTATTGTTATATTCACAGACCCATATGAGTTATACAGTGCCTGAGAATGAAAGGTCATCAAATATGATCCAAAGAAAGGTAGGGTAGAGCCAGTTCCTTGGATCTTTATATCATTTATCCAGTGATGGCTGCATGGAGTTCTCATAGTTTTAGTTTATTTCCTCTGTGCACAAGATATTTAATCTCAAGTGCTAGGTAGTAGGTTGGTAGACAGCAACTGCCCAGGGAGGTACTACCATCCTGGCAAGTGAGTGTAAAATGAAAGCCTGTAATTGTTTTACATGATGGTAGGATTGCTGGTGTCCATTTTCTGTCTCATAAACATGCAAGGTTTCAGGTACGTCTTGCTACTTCTACTTACACTTAGGTCACACTACACATACATGTACAAGCATATATATACACACCTCTGGGTTTTCTTCTATTATCTTACTAGTTCTTGTTCTTGTTTATTTCCTCTTATCTCAACGGGGAAGTGGAACAGAATTCTTCCTCCGTAAGCCATGCGTGTTGTAAGAGGCGACTGAAATGCCAGGAGCAAGGGGCTAGTAACCCCTTCTCCTGTATAAATTACTAAATTTAAAACTTTCGTTTTTCTTTTTGGGCCACCCTGCCTCGGTGGGATACGGCTGGTGTGTTGAAAGAAAAAGAAAAGGAGAAACTTTTGTTTTTCCTTTTGGGCCACCCCGCCTTGGTGGGATATGACCGGTGTGTTGAAAGAAGAAAGAAGAAATATGCAAGATTTCAGGTATGTCTTGTTACTTCTACTTACACTTAGGTCATACTGCACATGCATGTACAAGCATATATATATATACACACCTTTTGGGTTTTCTTCTATTTTTTCTTACTAGTTCTTTTTCTTGTTTATTTTCACTTATCTCCATGGGAAAGTGGAACAGAATTCTTCCTCTGTAAGCCATGCATGTCGCCAGAGGCGACTAAAATGCCTGGAGCATGGGGCTAGTAACCCCTTCTCCTGTATACATTTCTAAATGTAAAAGGGGAAACCTTCATTTTTCCTTTTGGGCCACCCCGTGTTGGTGGGATATGGCCTGTGCGTTGAAAGAAAGATATTCTCAGGTCTCCATGGGTAAGTGGAAAAGAATTCTTCTTCCGTAAGCCGTGTGTGTCGTAAGAGGTGACTAAAATGCTTGGAGGAAGGGGCTAGTAACCCCTTCTCCTGTATAAATTACTACATTTAAAAAGAAAAAGTTGTTTTTCTTCCTAGGTCATCCTGCCTTGGTGGGATATGGCCAGTATATTGAAAAGAAAGAAAAGAAATATTCTCAAGTATAACTCACCATTCAAGGGAGGTACATTGATGGTTGTGAGTGGCTCTTGATCCCCAAAATTAGAATTACCATCACTTTCCTTGGATGAATTCTGAGTGTCTCCCATTTTATACAGCTGACTGTCAGTGAACATGGTATTTATGTTCCTGAAAATGGTGTTTGCCAAAAATCACATTAATTAACTAAAAACATACAAAAAATGTGGTTACTTTTCTGATAACCCTCACAAGTGCCAGACAGTTCTTTTTTTATATTCAGTAATTCGTCAAAAATAATAAATTTTTCTATTCTTTACATTGTAGTGGTTGTTTCATGGTCTGGAAATGTGTGGATAAGGTTGATGTGGCCCTGTACAATACCTGGGAGCACAGCTCATCAGTGATGTTCAGGGTTAATAAGGTGAATGCTGTTGGTGGCTATAAATTCTGAACAGAAAAGTTTTCATGGCAGCTCTGCAAATTCATCCCTTAACTACACAAATCTCTTGGCTAGTTACCTTTTCACTTTTCATTATCAATCAGCAACATGTTTGAGAACTGTGTAAATACAGAAGAACATAAAGGCACAATACTGTGACTGGAAAAATACACAAATAACCTGTGCATACGAGAGAGACGCTTATGATGTGTCGGTCCCACTTGGACCACATACAAGTCACACTAACACACGAAGGTGAAGGAGCTAGTACATATAGGTTATATATATATACTGGCTCCATCACTCTCGTATGTTAGAGTGACTTGTAAATGGTTCAAGTCGGACTGAACCATTTATGTGTGGGTTATTTTTGTATAAGGACAGATAAACTAGGGCGAGTAAGTTATTTTTAAAAACACAGCGTAATATTGGTTTAGCTTTTGTGCACCCCCTCATAGCTCTTTGTTCAAAGTTCATGGCCACAAATTAATGTTGCAGCATTTAAATTTGAATTTGGGTTTGCAAAATTTCGGGGTTTTTTCAAAAAAAAGTTAAATGAGGTGTTTTATTGTTATTTTACTGTAAATTTTAAAACATTATTTGCTTGCTGCAAAGATACTTAATGTTTCAATTTTTTTCATACACATTAAAATTATTATAATCTTCAGGGGAGCACCAAACTTATAGGGGGCCCATCCCACCGGGAGAAATGAAGGTACTCGGGTTTAAAATCTGGGGAAGGGGGGGTAAAGCCCAATTTTTTGATTAAAGGTGGTAGGAAATGAATTCCCTTAGGTGTGTTTAAATTTAAAAGCCTTGTTATGTACCACTTTAGTCAGAAACTTGATAATAAATTACAAAGTTTTATGGAAGGGTAATGAGTACCAAAAAAATTATATAAAATTGTTTTATGAAGCAGTTGGAAATTTTATGTAGCCCAATCTTTTTTTAATTTACAGTTTTTAAAGTCCTGATTTCAGAAATATGAAGGGAAAAAATTAATTAGGGAGTACATTGAAAATTGCCCTAACCAAATTTTTAAAGGGGGGAAAGGGGAAAATCCAGGGGAAGGCCTCAGCCAGATGCCCGAAAGCTCCATTTCTGGATCATCATATGATTAAGACCCGTATCAGGAAAAATCCTTTTTTCCCAACAAACCTTTCCTAATCTAAACATGTAAGGTCTCCGTACTAAAAATTTTTAATGTCTATTTGAACCCCGTCAATATTTCGTGTTCAAATCTTTCTGCTTATTTTTTTGACTAATGTTTATGGTTTTAAAAAAAAATTTGACTGGAGTGTGTGGTGTTAAAATATTTTTTCCAATAGTATGTGGCATAAAATTTTTGACCCGAAATAGGTATTAAAATATTTTTCAGGTAGTATGTGGGGTTTAAATATTTTTTTGGGAAAATATGGTGCAAAAAATTTTAACCCGTGTATGTGGGGCAAAAAAAATTTTTACCCAAAACAGTGGGGCTAAAATATTTTTTAATGCAGTACAGTAGGGGCCCCCTTATATGGGGGTTTTTTCCAGGGGTACTGCCGGAAAGCAGACATCGCCGGAAAGCAGAACACCATTTTTTCCATTTATAAATGCATATTATTATTATTATTATTATTATTATTATTATTATTATTATTATTATTATTATTATTATTATTATTACTACAAATTATTATTATTATTTTTGTTTCAACAAGTTGGCTGTCTCCCACCTAGGCAGGGTGACCCAAAAAGAAAGAAAATCCCCAAAACGAAAATACTTTCATCATCATTCAACACTTTCACCTCACTCATACATAATCACTGTAAAACACCACATACTTTTTAGTAGGCTATACAGGAAAAGGGGTTACTAGCCCATTGTTCCTGGCACTTTAGTTGACTTTTACAACATGCATGGCTTACAGAGGAAAGATTCTTATTCCACTTCCCCATGGATATAAAAGGAAAAGCAATAAGACCAAGAACTATTAAGATAAAATCAAAGAAAACTCAGATGAGTGTGTATACATAAACGTGTAGATGTAAGTGCAGTGTGACCTAAGCGTAAGTAGAAGTAGAAGTAACAAGATGTACCTGAAATCTTGTATGTTTATGAGAGAAAAAAGACACTAGCAATCCTACCTATTAAATTATTACAAATTATTATTATAATCATAATAAAAAAGAAGCACTAAACCCACAAGGGTTGTGAATAGCTATAGATGGAGTGAAGGCATATGAAAGTAATAAATTTCTAGTCAAGTTACTGGTGTTTGACTAGAGAAAATGTAATTCTTCCGACCCTCCCGACACTTGGTAAACAAATCTTGTATTTATGTCAATTTTTATACTGTGGGTGTATTTATCATATTTATATGTTCGTAGCATTTTTACTATATAATTTTGAAATAAATATAAATGGATTAATAGAAATGTCTATATTAGCATAATATATGACATTTAATGCACCCAACAGATTACATGTATTATTATTATTAATATGGCATCGAGAGTAGAGACACTCTTAGTGATTTTAATGTGTACCTGCACGCTAAAGCACAGTGTGTAAGTATACATATGTATATAGGTACAGGTACACATAAGTATAATTATCAGAGTACATATAAAATATGCAATAACTTTAAAACATTTGAAATTTTGGAAAATTTCCGGACATAATAGAGATGTGTGTTCAAGGAGAATGTAAACAAACCGGGTGGGGACGTGCCGTATTTGAAAGACCACTCACCGTATTGCAAATTTTGGTCATGTAATTTAAAATTGCCGTATTAATGGAATGCCGTAAGGCGAAACGCCGTAAAGCGGGGCCCTACTGCATATATTAAAATATGTTGACAAGTGCCTTTATCAGCAGGTCCTGCATGTATGTGTTGCATCGCTCAGAGAGGACACTGGCAACAAGGATCAAGGAGTTGAAAGAAATTGGTTATTTTCCATTCCCTCTTGTTGTCTTGTGCAAGTCGAAATATGTATACATGAGAGCTGTTGACCGTTATAAAGATGAACACTGTTTTAAAAATAATGTTGACATTTAAAATGTGATGGAGCAAATAGATTTTGTAGAAGTGTGTATAACAGAATTTTAAAATTGACTGTAATTAAAGATTTTCAAATTTAAATGGCCATTGAGTTATTATTGAAAGAATTGAGAGTAAGACAGAGAGTAGGACAGCAGATGAACAGGGAGGCTTTAGGAAGGGTAGGGGGCATGTAGACCAAGTGTTTACAGTGAAACATATAGGTGAACAGTATTTAGATAAGGTTAAAGAGGTTCTTATGGCATTTATGGATTTGGAAAAGGCGTATGACAGGGAGGATAGGGAGGCAATGTGGCAGATGTTGCAGGTGTATGGTGGGAGACAGCCAACTTGTTGGACAAAAAAAAAAAAGTGAGGTTCGGGTTAGAGTATGTAGGAGAGAGGGAGATTATTTCCCATAAAAGTGGGTTTTTCAAGGATGGGGATGTCCCCGTGGTTTTCGAAAATTTTTAATGGGGGGGGTTTATAAAGAAGTGAATGCTTGGCTTGGCAAGAGGGTGGGGTTAAAAGATAAAGAATTAAGCAAAGTGGGGGAGTTGTCAATTTGCTTTTTGCTGATGACACTGTGCTTTTGGGAGATTTGAAGAGAAGTTGCGAGGTTGGTGGATAGTTTTGTAGGGTATTAAAAGAAAAAAATTTAAAAAATGAATATAAAAAGAGTAAGGTATGAGGATAAAAAGTTTTAGGTGATAAAAGATTGGTTTCAACTGGGGGGGAGAGAATCAGGGGAGGGAATGAAATTCAGAATTTTTGGGGAGTGGACGGCAGGAATGGGTCATAAGATGAGGAATCATAGAATTGATGGGGGGGAAAAGGGTATGGTGCACTTTAGTCTGGGAGACAGGAACTTTTTTGTTTGGGGAAAGCAAAGAGGGGAATGCTGAGGGTATAATTTTTACCAACACCTTATATGGGTGTGAAAACATGGGGGTGAATTTGCAAGAGAAGAAGGGGAGGCAAGTGGAGTGTTGTTGGGGAATTTTTGTGGTGTGTTTTTGGGGGGGTTTGTTTTGGGGGTTGGGGGGGGGGGGGTTTAAAAACTGGCAGGGGGAGGGGGGGTTTTAAAGGGTGGTTAAATCTGTAGTGGAGGGAAAGGCGGGGAAGGGTTGGCTTAGAAAAGGTTGGGGAGGGGGGGGAAAGGGGGTTTTGTTGCGAGGGGTTTTAAAGCAAGCATGCATGAGGTATTTGATAGGATGAAGGAGACAAATGGTTTTTTTAATACTTGACGGCTTTTGGGCGTAAGCAAAGTGACATAAAGGGATTCGGGGAAACCGGCGGGCCCGGGACTTGAGCCCGGGAGAGGGGAAGTACAGTGTCTGCTTTTTGAAGGGGGGTGTTAATGTTGCATTTTACAAACTGTAGTGTAAGGCCCTCTCGGGAAACATGATGGAGTGAATGTGATGAAAGTTTTTTTTTTTTCGGGCCACCCTGCCTTGGGGGGAATTACCAAGGGTTTTGAAAAAAAAAATAATAAAATAAAATTAATTACACCCTCTTTTCACTTAACGATGTTGTACTTCCCTGTTGTTGTATTAATCCGTTCCTGGGCCGTTACATAAACAAAATTTACTTTAGAATCAATTTTCCCCATAAGAAAAAATTAAATACAAAAAAAACCGTTCCGACACCCGAAGTATTAAAAAAAAAAAATTTTTTAACATAAAATATACATGTAGTACATAAAAAATACAAGGGGAAAATGATGAATGAAACTTTAAACACAACACTTACCTTTTGGAGATTCTTCTTAGGTATGGGAGACGGGAGGAGGAAGAGAGTGGTTGTTTATATTTTGGAAGGGGAATCCCTTCCAGCAACACCTAGGTACCTTTTGCTTTTCTGGGGTTGTTTCTCTTCCGTTTCTTAATGCCATGGACCACCTTGAGAGTCACGGAGTCCTGTCCAAAAAAAACTGTGGGAAGCTCTTTTCTGGCGTCTCTTTAACACTTCCCAAAATGGCCCAAGACTTTGTCACGTACATTTTGCCAACAGGGCTTGCAACAAACCTTTGTTAGGGGATTTTCTTCAAAAAAGCTTTCCTTTTACCCCACATAGTAAAAATCTCTTTAATTTTCTGAAAAAGGCCCCTTTCTTCCATCTCTCTTCCCCTCCTCTGAGCAGATTCTAGCTGCGATGGTTCCCTTTTCCTGCTGAAGGTTTTGCAGCTCCTTAGGGGTAATCCATTTGGTCTTCCCCCAATTCTTCCACATCCTCCAAACCAATCCAAATGGGTCCCCCAATTGATTTTACAACAGACATGGGTCATTGGGGCAGCCCCAAATCCTTCAAACCCTCTTGTCGAACAACTGGCCAAAATTTTTCCCCGGCAGATTTTTCAAAGTTGGTAGTACTCCCCCCAAGCCATACCTAAAGGGTTATGCAGTGGGGGATGCTGAATGTTCTCCCCAAAAAATTCCCCCTTGGGGTCAAGGGGTTGGTCTGGGTCACAGTCAAGCCCCTGTGAACATTGCTTTTGGTAATTTTTTTAAAGTTTGCAATAACCTGCTGGTCCTGGTTGGAGGAGAGGAGTGGTATTCGGGGGCAAGAACTTTCTGGATGAACCCAAAACTCCTCGAAAATTGGGTCACCAAGTTTGGGGGTGGCAGGTGCATTGTCCATTACTAGCAGGCACTTGGATCCAATTTCTTTTCCGGGAAATACTCCTCACCAGGGCCAAAAAACTTCTTTGAACCCTCACGAAAATTTCCCCCGTGACCCATGCTTTTCTTTAGATTTCCCAAAAAACACACAATTTACTCTTCATAACTTTTTTTCCTGAAAACTCGGATTTTAGAATGGTACACTAGTAATGGCTTATTTGAAAACCCCACTAGCATTTGCACAGAACATTCGTCACCCGTCTTTTCCTAGCTTGTGTCCTGGAGGGCCCTTTTCCTCTTTTTGTAAGAAGTCCCCTTTGGCTTTTCTTCCAAAAAAAGGGGCCCGTTTTGTCACAGTTGAACACTTGTTCAGGTTTCAGTCCCTTTAATGTTTATGTCCCCTGGGAAATTTTTGCCAATTTTTTAGCGCCTTGTGGGCTGAACTGGCAGCCTCACCATGCCTTACCAAAACTGTGTATGCCATCGGTTCTTTAAAACCCCTCAAACCAGCCCTTTTCTGGGCCCTTTAAAATTTCCCCACTTCACCCCTTTTTGCAGGGGAATTTCTTTCAAAAACTCATGCAACGCTAGCCCTTTTCACAAAAAAGAAATCAAAAAGTATTCCCGCTAATTGTTTCTAAATTTTTCCCACCAAAATAACTTCTCAGCCTCTTCCAGTACTGGTACTCATTTTTTTCAGCATGTTACTCCCTTTGCAACAACAGCATCCTTTATTTTTATTTTTTTTGCCCCTAAGGAACATAAAATTGTGTAGGGTTTTTTTTATACATCCTGGCATTCGGCCACACTTGTACCCCTTTCATATTGTTTAATGATGGTTTTTTTTTAAATTCAATCATATTTTTCACTTCTTTACCCAGGCTTGGCCAGAGCTTTCTTTGGGGCCTGGTAGCTTATTTAGTACTTGCAAGCACTAAAAAAAATGGAATTATGAAAAATTTTGCTGGAGCACGTGAGGGGCCTTCGCCCTTGGTAAACAATGCCAGACTGGGTGCCCCCCTGGCCACGCCGTGTCAGCGTCCTGCAAACTCGACCGCGAGCAAAATATGAAAAGCGGGTCCATGTTTATTTCGAAATACCCCTATGATTGGCGAAATTTTTCGTTGCCGGAAACCGAAAAGCGGGGGACCCGGGTTTAAAATTTTTAAAAATAACTAAAAGGTTTTAAATGGTGAAAAGGGACATTAAAACAATATCAAAATGGTTTTACACAACCCCCTACCTTATGTATGCTGCTTGTTTGCGAGAATTTTGTTTTCTGATGGGTTTTAGGAATGGAATCCTCGTTTGTGAGGAGATCATATAATTTTCTTTTATTTTTTTTTTTTAAAATACAGCTGAACCCTTAAGGGAGGGTGACTAAAAAAAAAAAAGAAGTTTTTCTTTTTAAAATTTGAATTTTTTCAGGAGAAGGAAATTTCTAGCCCCCTTTCTCCCCGGGATTTTTTGTGCCCCCACTACGCACAGGCTTTTTGAGGGAAAACCCCTTTTTTTTTCCACTTCCCCCCGGAATTTAAAAGGGAAAAAACAAGAACAAAAATCAAATTTTTATTTTATTTTATTAAATTTTTAAAATTAAAATTATTTTTATTATTTTAAAATTTTACAGCCCTTCCTTATTAGCTTTTACTTTTTACTGAAACCCGGGCTTAAGACGGGCTCTCTGATCAGTATTCATATCTAAAAAATGTATATTAGAGCTGATTTCCTCTATTCTGTTTATTTCAATATATAGTACACTACTGTATAAACATTTAAAAATAGTATACCAGAGATGTTATAAATGGTGCATAGGTGACATTAAAAAATATCAAAGATGGTTTACACAACCACAAACTCACTACCTTTATAGTATGCCCCTCACATAGCGACAAATTCATTTAATGACATGGTCTTAGGAACGGAACTCCATCGCTAAGCGAGGAGAGGCTGTACGTATTATTATATTCATGGGGAAGTGGTAAACACTGTACAGCACCTGTGATGGTTATAGAATACTTAGGGAAATGGGAAGCAGTCAGGATTGATACAAGAAAAGGGAAGGTTAGATTCAATTTCTTGGATCATGAATCTCCCTTGAGGGGCAAGATAAGAAGGAAAACACTCGTCTGAATCTGAGATGTATATAGGATATATATTCGTTGGATTAACATCATTTCTATGTACTCGAGCTATTGTATATTGTATAATATTTAAGTAATAAAGTATTTTCTGATAATTTTAAATAGTTTTAATGTCACCTACAAATCTTTGCTGTACAAACGTGCTTCACGCATTTATCTTCTTAATTAGTGTATCTTTTTTTTTTGCTGTACACTGGATACTCTCCAGTAAGTCATTATCCAAACCTTCATGCAGTATTCTGTACCAGGATGCACCACTGGCTTAGAAATCATTCACACACAATCACTGTCTTTGCAGAGGTGCACAGATATAACAGTTCAGATGTCAAACCAAACCAAAAACCATTCATCTCCACTCACTCCTTTCTAACACGCTCATGCATGTCAGCTGCATGTCCAGGCCACTTGCACACAAAACCTCTTTTACCTCCTCCCTCTATGCTTTCCTAGGACGACCCCTACCCCTCCTTCCCTCCACTACAGATTTAAATATTACGGTATATACATGGGAAGTACTACACTCATAGGGGTTTTACAATACTTGGGGAATAGGACATAATGTAATTAGAAAAAAGACCCAGAATGGGTGGTGTTTCAATCCATAGTAAGTATGTAAGTCCTAAAAACTCCAGGCCAGTGCATAAGCCACTTGG